GGGGGGACTCCGAAATGAGAGCGAGGCACCGCTGGGCGACACCCGGAATGGCAGTTCTAACCCGCGGTTCTTGGCGGTAACAAACTGGGGGCACCGATAACCAGGTTTTTACTAACAGCCCCCTCCTCACACTGGCGTGTGAAGGAAACCAGCCCCGGAGCCGGCAACAGTAACGACGAAAACCAAGACGTTCACTCCCAGCTGCCACGGTCCCGTCGCGCTCGTGTTTGGACCAGAAGATCTGAGAACATATCTAAGCGATGAAGCAATTTTCTTATCTCCCAGCACTTTCTCCAGTGAATGGCATTCTTTCATAGCTGTTTAAAAATACCCATCAGAGTTCCTCCCTCGGTAATCACTTGCGGGGCTTTGTTTTTCAACTGAGACTTTTCCCCATCGGGGGAGGGGCAGGGCTCTCACGGCGGCTGTGAGGAACCAGCAGCTACTGTAGCACTCGCGGCTCCGTATGCGGAACAATGTAACAGAGCCGAGCGTCACACACCAAAGTCAATAAACTCAAGCCTTTTCAACAAGTTGATTCTCAAGTAAATGCATTAAAAGCTGTTACATAATCGAAAGAAAATGTCTGATTCCTGCTAGAGCCATTTCTCCAATAGACGCAGCTCTGCTGAACATTTCCTGCAATCCCGGGCACTTCAGAACCCGAGCCGATCGAGCCTGGCAAAGCCCCTTGAAGAGATACCACTGGTTTCCTCACAGTTCTCTGTGGCCTGAATATCTTCCGAGAAAAACACAGTCCAATTTCAATTTTATTCACGGGGGAGAGGTTTCCTGAAGAGCGGTTCCAACCACCAGCTTTAAAACAAAAACGCAGGAAGGGCCGGGACCAAGCAGTTTAAACCACACCGGCTCTGCTGTCGCTTAATGAGCCTGAGGCCGTATGTCATCAAGTTCTACATGTTTTGCTTAGGCCCGGATTTTGGCTTAAAAGGAACCACTCTACCTTGGGTTTTACAGACGCCAACTGCACTGTGCTCAGCTGGGTCAAGAGGCGATGAGTTCCCCTCCCCAGTGTCTGGGTGCCTGGAGGGTGTTCTGAACCCTTGAGGCTCTTTTTAAAAAAATGAACAAGAGTTTGAACAGTAAACCACGGAAGCAAACAGGGTGCCACCCTTGTCCTTCAACCATGAAAGACAAAAACGTGTGAAAACAAAAATGCACATGATGCAAAAGATCAAACAGAGGCTGGAGGCCCCGGGGTCCCAGCCCTGCAGTCACCTGAAGCCTCCGGTGCACCGCGGCATCCTCACAGGTAGGACGGGGGGCTTAGGGGAGACACACCTGCGGTCCCGGGCACCCTTCCACACCCACGAGCCTCTCTGGGAGTCCCCAGCTGAGCTCGCACCCTCACCCGGGCTCTTGGGATTGCCAAGTGCCCATGAAGCAGCCTCAGAATCACCCTCAGCGGGCGATTCCACACGGCAGGTTCTAGCGCGGAGCGGGCCAGGGGCCTGCAGAGGCTCGCGAGGTGTCGCCACCGAGTGCCCAGCGCACGCTCAGTTCAGACACAACTAGAGATGGCAGCGCTTCGTGGAGCGCGGCCGGCTCCTCGGCTTAGGTCTGTGTCACATCAATTTCTGCAAATTCTTTAGCATCTAACGTAAAACATGCGATTAGACTGCGATTCCTGGAACCACAGTGTCCAAGGGGCGTGGATGGCAACGCAAGCGTGGGGAGATGAGCTGAGGGGCTCGCCCTGCTCTCCGGGGCAAACGGAGGTGGCGGGGCAGAGAGGGTGCCCGGGAAGCAGCTCAGCTCAGTCTGCGAGCGTTCGTCAGAGGTCTCATGGGGGCAGAAAGTTAGCAAGATCATGAGCAGGGGAACCTAGTCAGATCCCCCCTGGGATTACTCATTTAGGCCATTGCAGGTGGCGGCCACGCTCAGCGCGATGGGGCCTCCGTAGCAAGGCCTCTGTTCTCACTGGTTTTTATTCCTGTCAATCTGTGTGAAAGAAAACAACTCGAGGCCCAGGCATCCGGGGGCACAGCCTGGAATAAGTTAGCGGGAGAAGAAACAGAATTCCCGGGAAGGCTGTTAAAGTGCCCTGTGCGCCGTCCCCAGGACGACCTTGTTCTGGATGGGCCTTCGCTCGCCTTATGCCCCTAAGCGCAGTGAGCCACCCGTGGGCGAGCCTCGCACCTACCTGCAGGGCAGCCCTGCCCGGTAACCACGTCTACGGAGCTGATTAAAGTCTCAGAACCCGCACGGAGCGCTGAGCTGTCGCCGTGTCTGCCCGGGGTTTCCTGGGCAGCCATGGCCAGGCACCGTTCACCACCCAGGGCGTGAGTCCCTGACACGCAGGTGGTGGGAAAACCTGCCCCTACCCCACTTCCAGGGGCAACGCGTGGACCTCGGGGACAGGGAGCAGCTGGGCGTCCACCTGCAGACCCTGAGCTCTGGGACGGGGGACAGGCCTGGTTGACCCGTGGTCCCGGCACATGATGGACCATGGCAGCCGCTCAGTGAGGATGCGGCCAGTCAGGGAGCCGTGACTGTGGTTCATCCCCGAGGCTGAGTTTAAGTATCTGAGGAGCTGATAGATCCGAGACCAGGACGGAGAACCAGACGCAGCCTGGATCCGCTGCGAGTGGACCGAAGAGGGTCATACGCGTGTTCCCCACGACAGCAGGAGCCCCCAGGCTCCACTCGGGGGTCTGTTTTCCATGAGAGCCCTGACCTTAGGGGCACTGAACAGTGTCATGGGCTTGTCCCATTAAGGGCAGTGCAGGGGACACTGGTGGACAAACACAGTCCTGTGTGGCTCGGCTCCTTTTCTATCCAGGGGACAGAAATGCCAGCCTTTTACCATGAGCAGGATTCACTTTCTCATCACATTTGGGGGGTGTCTGGTGTGTGTTTGTGGTGTGTGTGGCGCACACACAGCAGACGGGCCCTCTCTCCGTACCTGGTCCTTCAGCTCGGACAGCTGGCCAGAGAGGTTGGTGACCAGCTTCATGGTGGACTCGAGCTTCTCCTGCAGGTTCCTCAGCTCGTTCTGCTCGCCCTCCGAGTCGCTGCTGACCAAGGACATGGCTCTCATCCGGGGGAACCAGTCGAGGTTCCTTTCCTAGAATCACGGGGGACAGAGTGGGGGTCACGTCTGGGAGCTGAGACAGAGGCCAGGCTACCACGTCATGTGGTCTTGGTGACATCTTAACTGAATATAACCGAACTCTCTCAATTCTTAGAAGTCACGTTAAAATTAAATGTAGGGGAAAAGCAGGCTTTCAAGCAGGGTTCCCAGTCACCAACGTGAACACTGCCCCACGAACCTGAGCTTCACAACCACAAGGCTCACGTGTGCCGAGTTTAGAGCTGTGGCGAAAGACACGTAACAGAGCCACGTCCACCACCCGCAGGTGCTCGGCTCCGTGGCGCCTCCACCTCCCACCCCGCAATCCTCGTCTCCCCCACCGGAGGCTCGAGCCGTGAAACACGGCCCCTGCCCCGCAGCGCCTGCGGCTTCTGCTCGCCCTGGACTACTCTGGACGCCTCGCTCTGCGGGCGTATTTTTAAAAGCATTACACTTGGAGAATCATCTGCAAACAGTCTGGAGGTGGAATGAATGTTAAGATCCCAAGTGCCTGGGTTTACCAGGTGTGCGTGAGGGTGTGTGCGTGTGTATGTTGTTGTGTCTGAAGGCGCAGCTGTGAGGAGGCCGACGGTGGTGCCCGGGCTCCCTGCTCGGCCCCCGAGGCTGTGAGGAGGCCGACGGTGGTGCCCGGGCTCCCTGCTCGGCCTCCCTGTCTGTGCGTCTGTGGAAAGCTGTCCTCCCCTTGCTCCCTCCTTCCTGCCTGGATGGCGGCCGGGTGCTGCCAGGGGTAAGAAAGGCCCAGGCAGGGCCCTCCCCGAATCCCGGCCTCGACCCCTGCAGCTTACACCTGCAGGCACCAGGCCGCTCCTCCCCACCCGCCCGTCTGCATGGCGGGCCCCACACCTGTTCTATCCAGAGAGGCAGGAATGACCCATAAGGGAAGCTCGGCCATCAGGAGACGGGGACACCTGACTCTCCACATCTGTCACTGTCACCTCTCACCCACGCGGCCGACCGGGCCTCACCAGGACTGATTCCAAGAGACGGTCTAATACAACCGTGCCCCCCTCTCGCCACCAGCACACGCACGAGGTTGGTCACTGCCGCTGTGTACACCGGGGGTCCGGGGAGTTTTCTGTTAGTAAATATTTCCTGATAGCGTCTCCGGCTGTGTGGACCTCAGGGTGCCCTTCGCACGGCTCTGCTACTGTAGCCCAAGACCAGCCACGGCTGACATCAGTGGACAGTGTGGCTGGGCTCCCGTAAAACCATCTTCGCTGGTTGAATGCTCACTCTTGGGGCTCACGGGCCACGGAGGGAGCACAGGCGGTGCAGGTGGTCGGTGAAACCACAACCCCCAGCACAGGCCGGCCCAGCTGTCAGAGGCCCTGGTACCCGCAGAGACTGCGACACATCCTCGCAGACTCACCCCCGAGGGGACAAGCTGAAGAGGAGAGGTCCACGGTCTCACTGGGCTGAGGGGTATGTGGGTGCAGGGACTGGGAGGGGACAGATGTCATCCCAGCAGGGAGTCCAGAGTCCTGACCCCCAAAAGGGACAGTAACTTGTGGGGGGGGGCATCTTTCAAAGGGGACCCTGAGAATGGCCTGGTGGTTACAAATTGTAAATGGCTATTACTGAATATATATATTTGGGAAATATTTGATAGTTCTTTAGATTCAAATCAAAAGTGTAAGCCCCATGAGCTCTCCTGGAAGAAAATATATAAAAATATAACCCACACACAGCCGCAGACAGAAAGAACCTGCCTTTTAACGCATGCATTAGTCAGTGCTGAGCGAGAGAAAGTGTTTTTACATTGAACCAAGATGATGTCCTGGAGCAGAGTACAAAATTGAATCAAAACTTAAAGATAAAACCTGAGATTTTGAAGAAATGTCACTTGCTGCCAGCCACCTGCCCTGATCCTAGAGACAGACAAACCGTCAACAATTCCTTCAATGCAGAAGTCCGTGTGACCGGTGACGACCACATAGGTTCCCCACCTCGCCTTCCTCCAACCTTAATACCTAATGAAGAGCTGGGGGGGGCGTACTAACCCCAACCACACATCAGCCCAACGCAGGGGACACTGCCAGCTTCACCCTGAGAGGGTGGGTCCCAAACCCAGGCCCTGGGTGTTGCCAGGATGTTAATTGGCCACGCTGGGCTCTTAAGTCAGATCTCGAATTCCCAAGGAGCATCCTGGAGGTAAAACTAATGAGCCACTCTGGCCAAACTGCCCTCTCGATTTCCCTGTGGCTCTGCACCCCCAGGGCCCCCGTCTGCAACCACAGGAGCCTGAGTCTCCAGATGACCTCGCAGAGACCACCCAGCATGAGCACGGCAGAGAGACGCCCGCCTGCCCGCTGCCGGTCCAGCCAGCCCACAGGAAGGCCCGGCCTGTTTCAGGCTCGACGGCCCAGGGCCGCCCGCCGCCCAGGGCTCCCCGCCGGCAGAGCCTGGGGTCTGCAAGTTCGCAGATCCTGCCTTCATGTCTCTTCAAGATCAAAACCGTCTGTGTCTCGGCTTCTGCTGCATTTCTGAGAAAGTCAAGTTCTGCCGAGACACTGTTTATACGTGACCTCGTCCTGGGGAATGTGTGTGGTCGAGGGGTGGGGCCCGTGGTTGCTGGGCTCACTGAGCATCTGTCGGCCGCCTGTCGCTGGGGCCTGGGCCGCCCCTCTGCGTCCCGGCTCTCCGGCTGCTGGCATGGCGCATACCGATGGCATTAGGCACCGTCTGCCCGGGCAGCCCCGCCAGCGCGGTCCCGGCCGGGCGGCTTCCTGTCCTGTCAGCGGAAGCAGTTGCCCGCGAGCCCGGCCCGGCTGGTTTGTGGGTGACGCTGGAAAAGCCCCTGCAGAGGCAAACGGCTGGGCGGGGCGGCGCTGACCTCTGGAGGTGTCCTTGACTGGAAAGAGGGAGGGTGTGCGTGTGGGGGGACAGAGACGGGAGGGGGAGAGACAGAGACACAGAGGAGGAGAGGAAGCTGGAGCAAGGTGCAAGCGCTAATGGCTCTGAGAGGCTGCTCTAAGAGCGGGCACGGGAATCGGTCCCTGCTCAGAGCCGAGCCCCGGGCAGGGAGTTCTGTTCCCTGCAAACGGCGAGCGCACTGCTGAGTCTGCTCGTCCACAGCCGCACTAGAGGGCGGAGGGTCTTTTCCGGGCGGGGAGGGGAGAGGAGGGCAAAAAGAAAGTGTCATGGAGAGAAGAGGGGCCTGGGAAAATGGACCTGTTGCTTCCCTGCCCTCCAGAGTCCCCTCTGGGGAGACGCCGGCTGCCCTTCCAGGTCTCATCTTACCAGGCGCGATGACACAGTGGGTCTTTCTGGGACGCCTGGGGATGCTGAGGTGCCAGGAATGACGAGAGGGCTGGGGGTGACCTGGAAGCAGATGCTTGGCCTCCCCGTGTGTCCCAACCCTTAGAAAATGCCTGGAAGAGGCAGGGGGAGGGTCAAAGGTCACCCTTAACTTTCAAAGGCAGGGACAGGAGACAAACTTGAAATCATCTGCCTCTTTGGCAACTTAGGATGACGATTTCCATCAAAGAAGAAGAACAGCCTTCAGAGCCCCCTTTCTATGATCACAGCAAAGAGCAAAACCCAACCTGGCCCCTACTGCTCTGGGTGAGAAACCGTGATGACGATCACTGACCACGCTCAGTGGCTCTGCCGTTCCCATTTACAGTCTCTCTCATGCGTTTTAAAGAAAGCCAAACTGCAGAAACAGACTACGGACACGGTGAAAAGATCAGAGGTTGGGGGGGGGGGATGAGGCCGGGCACAGAGGGCACCCAGGCCACGTGGAGGGGCTGTTCCACTTGAGGCTGCAATGCTGATCCATGTTATTATGATCCCAAGTGAACCCAGGGGTAAACTGTAGTCTTCAGCTAGTAACAGTGTATCCAGCTGATGAGAGATCCATGTTGCCTCATCAATTGTAACAAATACAGCGCAGTAACAAAATGTTAATAATAGGGAAACGGGGAGGGGGGGGCGGGGAGTATGGGAACTCCACACTTTCTGCTCAGTGTGTGTGGAAACCTAAAACTGCTGTAAAATAGTCTAGCAATTAAAGAAAAAAAGGCCAACCCCTGTTCCTTCTGTCTCCAAGTCCCACATGATGTCCCCACAGCTGGCAGGTGCATTTCTACAGGATACGTGAGGACAGTGTCAGGAGGAGAGACAACGGCCTGGAGTCAGGAGCTGAGGATTCAAGTCTTGCCGCCCATCGCGTTCCCCGGCCGGTGAGCGAGTGGATGAGACATCAACCAGCCTAGGTCTCTGCGTCCTTCGGGATCAAAGGCTGAGATGAGAAGGTCCCCGAACCCAGAAGTATGCAGAGCTGGCCTGGAGTCAGCCTGCAGCCGGCACCGAGCCCCACGTGGCCGGCTCCTGCCTTCCCTTGGGTACAGCTCTAGGCCACGCTTTCTCCAGCGCGGCCACTCCCAGGTCTAGTGTCCGGGTGGCTCTTTGTGAGCTCAGAGTGACATTCCTCTGACAGGCCGAGTTATATAATCTCCAGCTGCGCTTGGGAGGGCGGCCTGTCCTCCCTAGACCCAGTTCATGGCTGTTCTTGGACGATACAGTGCCGCAGTGACGCCCGTGCCAGCAGGGAGGGCCGCACCCAGCTCTGACGAAATCCTGGGAGAAGCCAGCTGCAGAACCACAGCTGAAGTCATTTGGGGCCTCAGGTGGCAGGTTCCTGGCCTCCCAGGGCCGTGAGAAGGCAGCATTTACCACTCAGCCACGTGGCTGGGTCCTGGGCACCTGGGCCACCAGAGGCGGGAGCAGGAGGTCACGGAGGAGAGGAAGGTGGGGCCGGTGGCCTTAGCCAGACACGGGCAGGCCGGGCCGCTGGAGATCCCTGATCAAGACCAGTCAGACCAGTCGGGCCCGGCAGGTGTGGCTCAGCGGTTGAGTGTCAACCTAGGATCTAGGTGATCAGGGTTCGATTCCCGGTCAGGGCACAGGCCCGGGTTGCAGGCTCAATCCCCAGTCGGGGGCATGCAGGAGGCAGCCGATCAATGACTCTCATCATTGATGTTTCTCTCTCTCTCTCTCCCTTCCTCTCTCTGAAATCAATAAAGATATATTAAAAAAAAAAAAAAAAG